TGGCGGCTCTCTCTGAGGGGGCTCGACGGGGGAACCCAGCCTCCTATATAAAGCCAGTACCGCTGATTTCGCCGTGCATTCGAACTTCTAACCCTCGAGTTATAATTATGTCTGACGCTGTTCCTGCTACACCTCCTGCTGCCCCTGCTACAACTGCACCTCCTAAGAAGACTAAGGTAATTGCTTTTCCAGTAATCTAAAAGTTAAGGTTCCTCTAAACAGCTCAGTTGGAGAAATTGGGTTTTCAGGCAGCCAAACCCAAAGGAGAGAGAAAGACTAAGCCAGTTACTCATCCAGTGTATGGAGCCATGATTCAAGCCGCTATCAAGGAGTTGAAAGATCGCAAAGGAGCATCTAAACAAGCTATTTTGAAGTATATAATCCAGAAATATAAGGTTGGAGACAATGAGAAACAGGTTAGCTCTTGATTTCAATTAGAGCAAAGTACTGTAGACGCCAATATTATATTGAAAACTATTAGGACTCTATTAAGGACTTTTGACGACGTCTGCTAGATTTTCCTTTCATTATTTTCTGGTGTGATATAGTGAGTTCCGATTCTCAGTAGCTCTAAAGCATATATAAACAGATACTGTAATAGTTTAATATAAAAACAGTTAAAGTCTTTTTTCTCTCATAGGAGTAGAATTTAAAAAAAAAGAGAAAAGGAGAAATGAATTGATTTTGGTTTATTGCACTTAAGAATAATTATCGGTTTTCATATTTTAGTTGAAATACCTTTCCAATTTTTCTTACGATTAAAGCATTTGATTAGTTCAAATTTTTAACTGAGGACTTGGGAATTATAGTTTCATAAGGTTAGGGATAAGCACAGGTTTTTTCTGTTATGAGCGGAAATTTAGTTGTTCTGCTTGAACTAAGGATTCTTCCAAACTTTTATGTACACTTTTTGATTTTAAAAGCTTCAAGTGAAATTTCATTTAGATAAATGCCAGGCTTCGAGTTGCCCTCAAGAAAGGCGTAAAAGATGGCCATTTAAAACAAGCTTCCGGAACAGGAGCTGCAGGACGATTCCGCTTAGCAGCTGATAAGGCAGAAAGCCCAGCCAAGCCCAAGGTTGCAAGAAAGCCAAAAGCTGCCACAGAGGTGGCTAAGCCGAAGACGGCCGCTGCTAAGCCTAAGGTAATTTGTTTTTCAATCTCTTCTTTTACTTTTAGTGGAGTTTGTGTCTTTCTCCTTTTCGTATCTTGGATCTTTACTAATAGCCAATTTTTTTCCAGACACCGAAAGCCAAGAAGGAAAAATCTGCTAAGTCCCCTAAGAAGGCTGCAAAGCCAAAGGCCAAATCCGCGAAATCCCCGAAAAAGACTGCAACCCCCAAGAAGAAAGCTGCACCAAAGCCAAAGACGGCGAAGAAACCAGCAGCAAAGAAAGCCGCCCCACCTGCAAAGGCCTAAATTAGTGTATTAATACTCGCACTCTACTAAGTAAGATGTATCTTTCGAAGTTCTATCGATCTCGTGTATATAGTCTTGTGTTGTTTATTGACAATTGCCCTGTTACGGTTAACCTGCGCTAGCTGTTTGTTATTGAATTCCTGAAATGAAGTTACTTCGTTAATAAATGGTTAATAGTTCAAATGTTTTTGTAAAAAAGGCATACTTTGTTGACCAGGTTTAAGCTTATGACGGTCTAAGCAGTGATTGGCAGTTTTTCAAAAGCTTCACCTCATCCTTCATATAAAACATAGCTTTGTGTAGTATCTGAGGGGTTGAGTTTCGCATCAGTTCTTATCTCTTGGCGCTACTATCTAGAGTAGACGCTTATTTACGCTTGTATATAGCTTAGATTCGACTAATCGTACAATACCAGCTGTTGGTTGGCCATAAAATAATTTTGGCAGCTTCGTTTGTTTTGTAGAAAATCGAATTATTTAATTTCTGTTACGTACCTAGTCAGAGAGAATATTTCATAAAGATTCCAATTTCATGTCATCTCGGATGACAAAACGGATATCACTTGAAATTTTCAACAAAAAAGGAAACCGGAAAAAATCGTAATAAACAATAAATGTGGATTAGGCCCCTCTATAAGTGTTTATGCTTACAAATTTGATGCTATGAGCAATGGATCCAAGAAGGCTAACCAAGCATTTAGGATGCGGAAATTGACTCCCTCATCGAAAATTGCAGGAATTTTATGGACCGCAAGAGATTCAGACTAAAAACCCATGATTTAGGTGAGAAGTTCTATTTACCGCCAGACAGCGAGAGATACTTTTTTGCACTTCTATTATTGCATCTAACGATGAAATTAATTGAAAAAAGTCGAAAAGAAGTAACTTTGCAATGTTTAAGTATTCAACTGCAGCTATACCTCATCTATAACATACACTGTGTTCTTTGTAAAATAGTCAAGGAGTTGTGACTAGGAATCTCTTCTGAGCTTACGGACTCTCAAGGTTTCTACAACAATTTCTATTCACATAGCCTTCACCTACAATTTTGTAACTTATCTT